TAGGAATCTTTCAAAGTTGCCAAACTTGGCTAAATCACCTGGATAGTTTGCATTTATGTAGGCCAGACTTTGCTTCCCTCTTCTCTAGTACAATAGAACAGACACTGCTTTAATTTTTTTTTTAAACTTTGCTCCTTGAATGTGTTTTCATTTTCTTAAAACTGAGATCCCCACAGCTCTGGCAGTTGCTGAGTTGTAAATTCTCTGTCGTATATGTATAGTTTGAATAGGATGTGCTTCCTTATGCTAGTATTAGGTGCAAGTGGAACTGGAGAATTATATTTTAAAACAAATGCCAGAATTGTATCAAAGAAAAGAGAATCTCTGAAGAAAAATTTTTAAAATGACCTCTGAGATTGGCTTTTCAAGTAATTTTCTTCTCCAGGGGAAATGTTATGTGGCATTCTTTGGTTCATGACTCCTGGAGTTTTCTGATTGACAAGAAACGATATACATTCAGGTGATAAAATAACGAGAACACTGGAGGGATTAAATTTATGGGTTGGAAAGTAAGCACAAATGTTTTAACACACATTCACTTCTTTCCTGTTTAGACTTCCCAGTGCTGTCTTTTCTCTCAGATGGGCACCAGATGCGGTCTTTCATTCTGCCAGACCATTCTGTAGATGTGTGTATAATAATGCGTGTCACCAGTAGATCTCTTGGGACCATTTTGCTTCCACAATAACATAACTCAAGGAGCTTATAGTTTCACTGAGACCTCTTCTTCATTTATATAAAATGTACAGGAAATCCAAAGTAAACACAGCAGTGTAGATCTCGAAGACAGGCTGTCTTCTTCACCTCTCTTGTACTTGTTAATGGGGACTTCTGTTCTCCACCTTCCTTTTTTCTCTGAGTTTGTCACCCTGGCAAGGCCTCTTTGCAGTCTTCTGCACTCCCCATTGTGCTATTCTTTCTTCTAAACTCAAAGGCAGTCTCTGATGCATTCTGCCTGTAGTCTTATTCTTTCCCTTTATTGCCTAAGGAACTAAATTCCAACTTTCCCAAAGTGCTCTCCACCCTCCTGCTTCTCCTCTTCTTGTCCACGGGTAATTCTCATTCAGAGTACATTGCTGGTTACTAATCTACATTCCCTACATGTTTCCCATTTTTAGACCTCTACTCATTCCATCATAGCTCAAATGAAAAGTAGGAAAAAGGAAAGATAGCAGCAGCCTCTGATGTCCTTCAGGGAGTCAGGACAGCCATGTGCGGGTCTGTTTCTCTACATTTGGGGTTGAATTGATTTGCAGGATTAAAAGATATCAAGTTGAGATAAATATACATACACATTCAACTAAGGCAGGTAAACTGAGCCTCAGGAAAATGAATACATTCTGTGTCTGTACTTTGTGATAAATCTTTAAATGTACAACCTTTTGAATATCCTTAATGGGCCCAATACTTGAACCAAAAAACTGAAGTATCAAACATGAGTAACCCTTTAAATCTCTGGTATGTCCTTCTATCCTAATCAGTTGGTCACTTTCCTCTACAAACATACATGGTTGAAAAATGTCGCTTGGCTGTTTTTCATGGTTTACTATTTGTGAATGTCCTGCTCTTTTTTCCCCTGGATACTGTAAACCCTATCTCCTTCCAGCCAGTTACTACTTTGGATTATTTTGGTATTGCATTTTGTTTGGCCAGTCTGCGTCAGTAATCATACTTTTAAAAATTAAAATGTATTTATTTGTTTGTTTATGTGTGTGAGGAGGAGAGATAGTAGGGATTCTGTGGTAGTTTAATATTCTATAATTTTATTAGCTCAAATGAAGAGGGGACAAACCTTGGCAGTATTTCATTTGGGTAATTAAGTAGCATTTGTAACTGCAAATAAGTTCAAATATATGAATATACTTTAGCTACAATGACGATATCTTATGCTGCTGCATCAAAAGTTAATTGTTATGTATCCATTTTGACACGGGGTATTAAACCCTTCCGTCCTGTACTGGTGGAGTAAGTATTTACAGCACAGGGTTTGGGCATTACTTAGATTTTTTTTTTTGTACCAGGGATCGAACTTGGGACCTTGCTCTTTCTAGGCAGGAGGCAGAACCACTGAGCTAAATCCCTGGCCTGACATTGCCTAGATTTTGACTAAAAATCTAAAAGTGCCTGCTCAGACCTGCTCCCCAGATTGCTGTGTCTGCACTTGTGGGAATGCCTTTTCTAGTTCACTGAGTTCTCCTTCCAATTTTTTTTTCCCCTGGTACAGGGGATCGAACTCCAGACCTTCCATTTAACAGGCAGGCGCGTCTCCAAACCATAGTCTTTTCTACTAACCAGATTAAATTCTTTTCTTGTCTCTTCTAACATCTCATTTACTTTTATTTATGCTTGCCTAAAATATTCTAAAAGCTAGACGGATGGCTGTCCAACTTAAATCACTCTTAGAGTTGGATGCAGGTTGGACCTAGGAAATTTATCTAGCAGTGGAGATGGAAAAGGATAATATGAGAGTGAAATGCATGATTTTTAAATACAGTTTATCCAAGGAGAGTTAATCCTTATACCTTTAAGATCCATGAAACAGAAAATAACTTGTTTTTTCCAACTTAATTTTTGTATTTAATTGTCAGAGATGAGATGTTTGAGTGTACCAGTGCTCTGATACCAAGTGGGCTTGGAATTTTGTTTATGTTCTTAGATTCACAAAATTTTAGATGCAGAAGTGACTTTATGCTAAAATTGGTATCTTTCAGATTCCTTTTCCTTCAGGGGATTTGGCTTCATTGTCATTTCTTTCTACAGAAACCTCCTGGAAACTACCACTCTCATTGAGTTAGCCATCTTCCTTTACCAGTCTGTCAGTCAGTCCTCTGTTAAGACATGTGTAGTGATCATTTACTCCTATGTGTGTCTTTCTCTTTGGACCATGAACTGTAAAGATGGGAATGGTGTCTTGTACTTGTACCACCTACCTCCCAGTGCCTAGCTCAGAGCTTGGTAGACACATAGTGAAGATTAGCAACTTCATAGAAACTACAACCCCAAATCTCAGTAGCTGAGGATAGCCTGGGGTTGGCAGGGGCCTGTGTTGTCCTCGTTCTGGGGAAGAGCCTTACAAAGCTCCATGCTCTTTGATGGAGGCTGAGGAAGAGCCACCTACTATGTTCCTGAAAGAAGAAGACCTGGAATATTAGTGACTAACACTAATGCCTGCTAAGTAGATGTCTGCTACATGGTACTTAATACTTACTGAACTAATAAAGTATCCAAAACTATCTCTTGAGATTTTTATTATTTCCTATGCAATAAGCAGAAGTACTTTAAATAAAATATCCTAGTAACTACATTTTTAAAAATGAAGATACTATATTGTCTAAGCTAAGTTCAACAAACATCTAGATCCTTTTTGGGTAACCGTTTTGTTAGTTTTATTCATATTGGGAAAGGTGTTATGTTTGATTTCTTAGTTTTTCATGTGCATGAGGTACAGAATGGGTAAATTTGTGTAATTAACGTTCTTCTCAGAGTCACCAGAGTGGAAAAAAAAGTTGGTCTTCAAATATTTGCATATTAAATTAGTATATGTTTTAAAGATGTACATTATAGAAATATATTTATAATATATTTTATACTTCATAATTACATATAATTATGTAATATTTATTCATGTGATATGATGTAAGCTATTCAATTTTTTTCCTACTTTGGCATTTAGGGTGTTTATTCCATTATAATAAGTAACACTGTAATGTCCTTGGGATCTGTCTATTTCCTTGCTTTCTCAATCCTGAAATGTTTAACTTGGGAGAACTGGATAATACTTGCAGGGATTTCAGTATGATAAACCAACTAGAGATGAAATTAGTTCAGAAGAGAAAGGATGCAGACTAGGAGCTGTTTTTGTTTCCATGTTCCATGGGAGCATGTTGAAATATTTCTCAAACTAGGCTGGTGTTGCTTTCAAGTTCAGAACTGGAATTAATAGACCAATGCTGAAAGAGACATTGTCTTAAGGGCAGAAAGGACACTGGTCCTGAGGAACAAAGACTTGGCAGGAGCCAGATGGCAGGGCCTGATCCTAGCTGGGAGCCAAATCTAATGGGAAAACCTTTTTGTTTTGTTTTGTTTTTTTGAGGTGTACTTAA